CCTGGGACAAGTAAACACTAGATTGGCTTGGGCCCCACTGGGCACTAAGTCTGTGACTATCTCTCATCTCCAAGTAGACATCTATCTTTCCTGATTCTGTTCCGTCCTGCTGACTGTTAGTGTTCAGGGACTTATATCCAGCTGGTCCTACGTACTCCTATCATGTACCTCTGTCTGCTTTGTATCTCAGACTAGTTGAGATTTCCTAACTTCAACATCTATTTAATTTTATGAAATACTGCTAGTCCAGGTCCTAATTAAAAAAACAAAAATGAAAGGAACCTGGCTTCAAAGTGGTTTATTTGGACTCTCTGCTAGGAATAGTATGGTCACCTGGTTTTGACACCCATGCCTCTCGGTTGGACCTTCCTTGTCTTGGCCTACCAGTTATAGTCAGCCCCTTGGCAATCACCCATCAAACCCCTGACCTTCAGCTTTGGATTTTAGTCACCTCAAGTTCATGGTGCCAAATCAAATTCACTCTTCCCATTGACTCTAATTGCTCCCTTTTGTTTGTCACATGCCTCTATATCAGCTCTTTGCCTTTATTTTGCTTCATTCAACAAATATCTGAGGACTGTCCACTGACCAGCAAAGCCCTGTGTTTGGAATTGGGGGTTAAATAGTGAACCAGATGAGGTCTCCACCGAGACAGTTTGCTTTGTCATAAGAAGACAGGTGAAAGAGCTAATGACATCACTGTTAATCACCAGTTTTATTAAATTCTGTGGAGAAAAGGCATGAGCAGAGTTAGACCCAGATTTGGGGGAGGAGCCTGAAGTTCATCCAATTTGCAGATACTTCTTTGAAAATAAAAATGATTTAAAAATTAAAAAGAGAAAATCAGGTACAGGGCCTTGGAAGTAGCTTGTACAAGTAAGGGCTCTGAAGCTTAATCTTCATTAACTTTATGATAAACTAGATCCTGAGGATAGGATTTCAGAAGGAGTAGGACAGTGGGTTAAACTACTAGTCAGGGAGCTCCAAGAGGAGGAAGAGAGAACATTTCAGCCCAGGGTAATGGCAAAGGCGCTGAGGTACAAGTGTGTTGGAGGAGTAAAAGACGGCCACTGGAGTCTGGAATGTAAAGAACAAACCCAAGGAGACACCAGGGGAATGGCCAGGTACCAGATCATACAGGTCAGGTTAAGAGTTTTACATGGTAAGAAAGCTAGTGGAAAGACTGTGAGTTGATTGAAAGCAAAGAGATTAATGGGGCTTTCAGATCAGGATGGTAGCAACTCATATTGAGGGCTTCCCAGGTGGTGCTAGTGGTAAAGAACCTGCCTGCCCATGCAGGTTAGATAGAAGAGCAGGTTTGATCCCTGGGTTGGGAAGATCCCCTGGAGGAGGACAAGGCCACCCACTCCAGTATTCTTGTCTGGAGAATCCCATGGACAGAGGAGCCTGGCAGGCTGCAGTTCATAGGGTCACACAGAGTTGGACATGGCTGAAGTGACTTAGCACACACAAGTGCAATGCATATTGAGCCACACCTAATTTATATGCCTCCTCAAATTTGGTGGCCTTACTTGCCACCCAAGCTTTTGCCACTAGCTTCAAAAAGAACCTTGGTCCCTGTTGCTATCCTCTGCTTTTCTGTCACTGCCAGCTCTCATAGCTCCCTCAGAATGAGAGCAGGACTCTCCACTGAACATGTCAGAGTGGGAGCTCCAGGAGGGCCAGTGCTCTCAACATGCTGTGGGATTTGGCTTCTGAAGCAGCTGCTTAAGGAGGGAAGGACCCACAGCCCAAATGTGCAGAAGAAAGTAAACCTTTGGGGTGTAAAGTGTGACGAGTGAGAAAGAAGAAACAGAAGGAACCAGTAGATATGTCCTTCACTCATCTTCTTCTCTAAACTGTTGTGAAGCAGGATGATCCCACACAGCCCTCCCAACCCATATGGCTGAGCAATTGGCTCCATCTCCTTGTGAAGTGGCAGCCAGCTCTGGAACGCACCACGCTCCATCTGCTTTCCCTTCTTCCCATTGCCTTCACTCCCCTCACCCCCCTTCCTCCATTCTTATTGCTTTGGAATTGAATCCTTCAGTGAAGCATCTTCATATTAATTTTGACTCAGGCTCTGTTTTCTAAGCTAACACACATTAAGAAAGAAATGGATTCCAAATCTATTCAAATGAGTTCAAGATCTATTTAAGATCTACTATGGGGTATGGTTCAATTTGGTATACACATTTAAACTGTGAACATGTCTACATAGCTAAGGCTATACCTTATTCACCTTTGTTTTGTATGGCCAGAGACTCTGCAAATAGTAAGTGCTTCAGAGATCTTCCTTCCATGGAATTGGAATAGTTTATCAATGTCCCAGAAAATTAGGATAGCATGTGATCAGATACCTGAACCAAAGAAATTGAACCAAGTCTAACAATGCTACTGATTTGACACCAAGCTGTAAAAACTTTTCCGGAGGCTGCTTCTGTTTTATGGTGCTCAAAAAACAAGACAAATTAAAACCAGGTTGAGGAATAAGACATTAAAAGCATGTATATTCTGGAGAGTTAGAGTGAAAAGGAAAGTTTGGTTCAACATGGTTTTATTTCCAAGAATATGCATGTGAAAAAAAGGGTATACTGCACGCACGCTGACTTTTAAAAACAGCATCTGGTAGATTTTACCATATTTTAAGGATGTGCTGGGTTTCTTTTTTTTTTTAATCCCCACACATGGTCTTAAATGTTTATTCAAAATAATACAATAAAATGGTAGTCTCCAAAGAAATAAATAATAATGGTCCCTTCTTGTCCAAATTTTCATTCTGATATAGAGTTTCTCTCTCAATCTCTATTTTTTTCATGTTCTTGTACAACTGGATCTGCTCTGCTGTTACGCACATGCATTTCTGTTTTCAGATATAACAGTAAAGAGCTGATAGCAAGATTTTCTGAATTCCCTGTTGTGCGATTCAAGAATTAATCTACTCTATAGAGAGGAACTTCATGAATTTAAAGTATATCCATCATCATATTAAGTGATTTGCTGAACTTAAAAGCAATGGCTTGTAGAACAGCTGGTATGTTCTCTCAGATTTTTACCCTTCATTATCACCACCCCCAAACAAATGTACACTGTAAGTAGTATAGTAACTTTGGCTTGAACACTTTTGTTTTTGTTGATTTGTTTTAATGTGGGCTCTTCCATTGTAAGAAAATCTGTTTTAATCTGTTGTGAAGCATGTGTTCACAGAAACAACCAAATACTGACTCTACAATGCTTTACTGGGTGCCTACCATATGAGCTATGATGGAATCATGCTGCCTATTGCTTCCCTCCAGGGGAATATGAAGACCTGGGGATAGTTCCTTCATGTGTTATGCCCTGAGCTGGTCCATATTTCAAAGATGAGAAGGGACTTTTTTTTTTTAATTGACACTATAGGTCGAACTCCTTGATATGTAAATTGCTCTTCTGTTGAGAAATCTAACAGACTATTTTGACTGAATGGAAGGCATATCTTTTTCCTTTTCTTTCTTTCAAACACACTTTCCTTTCTTTCTCCCTTCCCCTTTTACTCTGATTGATTGCTAATGAGAAACTAGAAAATAATATTGAATAAAACTACAATCAAAGAATTAGATATATGTGAGATATTATATATCTCACATATGAGATGTATGAGATAGCTGAGATATATATGAGATAGATATATATTAGATATATGTGAGAAGTATGGAAAGTATCTTTAAGCTGTATCTTTATGCATATATAAAAGGTTTTGACTTTTTAAAAGTAAAATTGGCTTATTTAAAAATTATTGTTACCATCTTTTTAAATTCCATATCTATGCGTTAGTATACTGTATTGGGGAACACATGTAAATCCATGGCTGATTCATGTCAATGTATGGCAAAAACCACTACAATACTGTAAAGTAATTAGCCTCCAACTAATAAAAATAAATGGAAAAAAATCATAAAGAAAAAAAAATTAACACATTATTGACAAAAACACGTTCAGTATCTTATTCTACAGAAGGCAGAGGAGCAAGTAGTGTGATAAAGCCATTCATCATAGTCAGCTTTAAATTGGCAAAACTCATGCCAAACCTGGGCTCTGTGGAAAATTTCATGGTCAATTAGGTAAATACATGTGTAAAAATGGACCCAGCAACAAAGATCATGAAGCCAATTACTGATCATATTTAATTTCATCCCTCTAAGTTCCAGAAACAATTTTTGCCCTCACAGATCTAAGATACCCAAATAAACTGTACAATCACAATATTTAAATGTTATAAAAAGCTTTATAACATTTTATAAGGCATAGCTGTTAGTTCACAATTATTGTTAGGTTTAGTCTTCACATCTTAGAGGTTTTCAAGAAACCCCAGCTACAGTGTTTTTCACGATAGGGCAATGGACATAAGTACATAATTTTAAGCATGTATTTTTCTATTTGAAATAGAAATTTGAGGTACATGGTTAGTTGTCTGCATTTGTGCAAGATTCAATTTATATTACAGAAAACTCGCTGACTAGTGTTCCATTCAGGAGCATCTGTCCTACCATTTTATACATGTCTGTATTCAAACTAGAATAGTATTAAATGAACCTTTTATATTTTAAATATTCAAGAGCTTTATATTCAAAATTTCTTTTCTTGCTGTCAAACTAGCTTGCCTAAAGGCAAGGTAAGATCAAGTTAGACTCTCAAAGGTAGAATTAAATTTTATCATGGCATCCATCATAATATACAGTTTGCTTAATATGCAAATAAAGAGTATATGGAATCAAAGAATAAAGGATTTTTAGTCAGTGTGTGAAATCTAAGGGACTACTTTTATAGAATAGATTCCTTTTAAATTTACATTTCCATCATTTTAATGAAAACACAGGGTAAACAAATTGTAATAGAAATGTTTTAAGTTACCATTTTTCACTCAATTTTTCTTCTACTGGGTTATTTTTCATGACAGCTCTTTATTTAAAACTAATAAAAATAGAAGAGAAGAAATAAAATAAATATAAAGAAATCATTACCTCAGCCTTTCTGGAGAGTTCCATCCAGTCATTTCTGTTGTAACTGCACATGATGCTAGCAATCACAATCTTTAAAAAGAGAAAGGAAAGAAAAATTAGTTCAAATAGTTTTGTCTTTGTACACAGGGGTCTATGATATTCATATATATATGTTTATAATGGTAAATTATATCATAAAAATTAGTTTTCCATCTGCTGAAAGAAATCAGTAAATTACAGCATGGAATTATAGTGAAGCAAAGGATAAGATCTGGGGCTTCAGACTTAGGATAGAGACTCTCATTTACTGTCTTTGAATGCTTGAGCAAGTTACTTAACTTTCTGATCCTCAGCATTCTCATTTTTAAAATGGAGATAATAATACTGACTTTGCCAACCTCAAAAAGTGATAGTGAGAATTACATGAATTTGCATATGCAAAAAAGAGTTGTTTAAGTTATACAATGAGGTAGTGTGTGCATACTCAGTCACGTCCAACTCTTTGTGACCCCATGGACTGCAGCCCAGCAGGCTCCTTTGTCCATGGGATCTTTCAGGCAGGAATACTGGAGCAGGTTGCCATTTCCTACGCCAGGAGATCTTCTTGACCCAGGGAATGAACCCTGGTCTTCAGCATCTCCTGAAGTGGTAGGCAGATTCTTTACCACTGAACCACCTAGGAAGCCCATAATGATGTAGAAATATTTATTAATGTAATTACTGGTATAGCTAAAAGGTTTCAAGGTATGGAAAGGAAATGAATTAGTGTCTTCTTCAATCATACCTTATTATAGTATGGATAATTACACCTTACATATTCAGAGTGAATTATAGTTTCAAAGTTTGTTAAATGTTGATTATTTAACTACAGTATTACAGTATGTTATAATGGAGGCTTCATGGAGTAGTAGTTACTAGTATCTGCTCTGAAGCCAGAATGTCTAGATTAGAGTTCAGACTCTATCACTAACTGTGTGGTCCTGGACAGACATTTAATTTCCTCATTGGTTAAATATGGATAACACTACTATCTACTTGCTGCTGTTGTGTCTGACTCTTTTGCAACCCCATGAACTATAGCCCACCAGGCTCCTCTGTTCGTGGCATTTCCCAGGCAAGAATACTCTAAGTGGTTGCCATTTTTTCTCCAGGGGATCTTCCTGACCTAGGGATAGAACCCATGTCTCCTGCATTGGCAGGGCCTTTACCACTGAGCCACCAGGGAAACCTACTATCTACTTAGAAAAGTAATAATCAAACTGTTAAGAGTTTATGGCTCTAATAATGTACCAGGTAATATTTTAATGGATTTTATCCTATTAACTTACTTAATCATTCTCAAATTATTCTTCCCATTTTACAGATGAAGATGCTGAGGCACTGAGACACAAAGGTTTCAGAGCTAATAAACAGCAGAGCCAGGACTCAGACCCAGAAATTTAACTGAGAATCTGTGCTTTTAGCCATTCGTTTTTGCTAGCCTAATGTAAATATTCAGTATATGTCAGTAATTACTTTTTATTATTACCATTTAAAGACTATGAGATCATGACACAAAGTCTGTGCCAAATCTAAAGCCACAGAGTCTAGTGGAAGAGTCCACTAAAAGCCACTGAGCTCTCACCACAAACAGCTTTTTTTTTTTTGTCTAAAAAAAAAAAAAAAACAAAGATGTGATGAACAAGTCAGATGAATGCTTTTATAAGTAAGAGAAAGAAAATAAGCTATAATCATACAGGAGAGAGTTCTGAATACCAGAGCTCTAAATACTGAATAAGCCTGTCCTTAACGCTGGGTCAATTTTTTCCTGATAGACTATAATCCTCCATGGGTGCCTGGATTGCTCTGCACCATTCATCATTTTATCTACAATAACCAGCATGATGTTTGGCACATAGTAGACTTGATTGAATAAATGTACGAGGTCACTAAAGGTTTAGGAACAGAGAGTTGCATTTTCAGTTTATCCTTTTAAAATTAAGCAGATATGAACACCATGAGTTAGAGAAGGGAAAAAATAAACAATTGGTGAAAACTTTTGGCAAATGATTATTGTATGATTTAGAGAGAAGAGTGTGCAGAACAGTTGGGAATGCTGGTTTTGGTGACAGAGAAAGGGTCAGATGTCAAAATACACAGAAACTGTGTGTATTAAGATTGAAAAAGAAGAATCAGGAGATCTGAGAGGCTGATTATGAGTGACTGAGAAAATCTTACAACTTTAGTCAGACAAAAGTAAGATGATGCTAAGAAACAGTGTATTCAAACAGATTCCTATGTAGAGAGAGGAACAGAGAAAAGTAAAAGTAGATGGTGAATAGAGGAGGAAAATTAAGAATGCAAGATTGTTTTTAATTGAGTTTAGGATTCAACTTTTGTGTAGCTTTTAAGAACTAGGGAGGAAAAAAAAATGCAAGAATGACCCTTGGCCTTTTCTACAGGGGCTGAAAGAAAGTGAAAAGTCAACTTCCAAACTTGCCCATCTGCAACCAAGAAAGGGTCTCCAGCATAATTATGCATCTTCAATACACTTTCTGCCATTTTACATGCTATAAAATCTGACGTCATTCTCCCCACCCTCCAGTTAGAAAACAGAACCAGGGAGAAATTCTCCAGAGAGGTACCAGACCTTCAGGGACTACACTATTACCTCCTCTTGAGTATTTCTTGCATGTAAAAGAGGGGGACTTCATTTGAAATGAAAACCAATTGGGATGAGGGCCGGGGGAAGGTGGACAGATCCTATTGTCCTCAGTGGCCTCAAGGTCAAGTCAACAAATACATCTTTTTTTATTTTTTTAATTTATTTATTTTAATTGGAGACTAATTACTTTACAATATTGTAGTGGGTTTTGCCATACATTGACATGAATCAGCCGTGGGTTTACATGTGTTCCCCATCCTGAACCCCCCCTCCCACCTCCCTCCCCATTCCATCCCTCTGGGTCATCCCAGTGTACTGGCCCTGAGCACCCTGTCTCATGCATCAAACCTGGACTGGCGATCTGTTTCACATATGATAATATACATGTTTCAATGCTATTCTCTCAGATCATCCCATCCTTGCCTTCTCCCACAGAGTCCAAAGACTGTTCTATAAAGAAAGGTTAATCTAAGGATTTAGGGAAGGAACAGACTCCCCAAGCTTGCTGGTAAAATGTCAAGAGCAAGGTTAGATTCCAAGATTCAGACTGAAAAAAATGACTTTAGCATTAGATACTGATTCTGTGGTAAAAGAGACAAACAGTAGACCTAGGATTTTGGGGAGTTCTATTATTCAAAACCAAGAAACACAGACAAAAAACAAAAACAAAACTTGCCTCCAGTTTTGACAAAGTAACCCTCAAGTTTATACTCCTATACAAATATGAAGTGACTGCTAAATTAGGATGGCATCCTCCTCCCCGGTGTCCCTTTCAGGCACCACAGAGGACAACAGGGAAGATCCTTCTAGTGGGCAGGGTCCAGGTGGGCAGATGGGCTGACCAAGAAAGCCACTTCCAGGAAAGCAAGGTTTACTGGCCCTGACAACTGGATATGATAGATGTTCTCAAGTAGGGACTAACATAGTTCCTCTTTACTAAATGGTGATTTTTATTTTGACAAAGCTGTTTTTTCTTCAAATATATATGATTGTGCCTGGATTGGTTAGAATCATCATTCACCTTTTAAGTCACCAAGATTATGAGGAGTACATTTGGGCTTGATAGACAGAAGTAAATAACACCCAGAGAACTGTGCTGAACACTGGTGCCATCAAATGCCTAAGAACGCAGTGACTGGGTATGATTTGGGCCATGCTGTCGTTGGGGAGGGGTGGCCACAGGTGGGAGAGATAGATTATGCTGAGCAAACAGAAGTTTTGTGTGCTCTGAACAGTTAAGCACTACCCTGTTCCTCATCTTCAAAAAACAGACTCTACCTTCTTACCCAAAAAGCTGGGAAAATATCTCCAACAGGGTTAATCACAGTAATCAGCTACTCTACTCTCATTAAAGTCCTTCAGTTGAGCTGGGGAGATAAAGACTTTTTTCCTCTTTGGTCCCTAAATTGGAATGAAGTGTGTTCATAGCAGCTAGTAATCACTGACGGATTCCTTACTTACCCAAGCCAACCCTCACACTCCCACTCCAAGCTAGCTGCACTAGGATGATAAAAAGCAGAGACAGAGCAAAGTAGAGATGCAAGATGGAGACATGGTTCTATCACTTTTAAGTCTGGTGTACCACTAACATGCCTGTTCAAGTGAACCAATAAATATCACTTTGACCTGAGAAAACTCAAGTTATATTCTGGTTTCTATCACTGACAGTCTTGACAATTACTACATGCAAAACTAAAATTGTCACTTTAAAAATAACTTCCTAAGCATTTTTTCCTGTCAAGTAAATTTAAAGGAAAAATAACTTTATGCCTTATTTTTAAAGGCTAAATTATCTAAGAAGTCTAAATATCTTTATCTAAAATAAAGGGATGGTTTGTGGAACTATATGTTGACATTCTATTTCAGAGGAATAAAGATGACCCCAAATCATTTTATTCTTGATTAAAAGATACAAGGATTTTTCAAAAAGCCAGGCTAAAACACATCAACAGTAAAAGAACACTGAACAGAATTTAATCTTTCTTTGAGGATTAGAAAGCCCTTCCGTGTTTTGCAGTGCTTAGTTTTTAATCAAGCAAAGGAAGACAGGTTACTTTGTTCTTATGGAAAAAAAGAGTTAATGTATATTTTATATTGTGAAACATCATGAAAAGTTACTAGAAATGAATACCTAATGAAACATTTTTAAAACACAGCAACATTTCCCTATATTTCATTTAATTTATGCCATTTCTAATGCTCCATTTTTATGGCTCATATTTTAAAACACATAAAAACCAAATGCTATATAGTGTGTTAACTAATCCTACATTTTATGAACATTTTAAGAGTCAAGTGAGAGATTCAAACAATATTAGTTAATCACTTAGTATGAAACCTGAGTATCTACTGTAGTAGGCACTAAATGACATATAGAGGAGTTTAAGACACTGATTCAGAGTCTTTGATTATTCAACAAACAGTATTTCTTTGAGACCTATGTGCC